AGGATGGAGGACGGAGAGGAAGATGATGCCAAAATGCCAACGTGTTTTAACCTTTTCCCAAAAAGATGCATCCCAGGGGGGTTTGTTCCCCTGGGTCACAGCCATGGCAGAGATGCCACCCCCCTCGAAATGCCTGGGGCATGAAATCAGGACCCTCCACTTATCACCCACTGGGGGTACCCGGGGGGGCAGGGGGTGAGCAGGGGGTGCAGGGGGCACATGTGAGCGGTTTCCTCCTCCCCAGCTGGGGACTGTCAGGGGATGATTAATGGCCAACGCCACACAACTGCCTTGATTGCCAAGTGCTGCATTGTTAGCGCTGACATGTAACGAGCCCGGACATACTTTAACACAATTCTGCACCGTAATCTGCAAATAACGTTTGATAGACTTAATTTGTTAAGTATTTCCCCCCCTCGCAGTCCCTCTCCCCACCGCCTTTCCCTTTCAAAGCCGTGTCAGAGCTCCAGGGGCCCCGCAGCCCCCCCAGCCCCGCTGCAGCCCCAGATTTCGGCTGCTCCTTTAGGTTTCAGGTCGGGAGCAGTTTTCACTCTTCTCCCCAGCCAAACAAAAAATAAAATCAACTTTTTATGCATTTTTCAACCCTGTGCAAATTCATTCCCCTGCTGCCACTGCACTGGAGTGCACTGGAGGGTGCTGGGAGCACTGATGGATGGGGATGGGATGGGATCAGGATGGGGATGGGATAGAAATCAGGATGGGATCAGGGATGGGGATAGGACCAGAGATGGGGATGGGATGGGATGGGATGGGATAGAAATGGGGATGGAGATGGGGATGGGATGGGGAAAGGATGGAAATGGGGATAGGGATGGAAAGGGTTAGAAATGGGGATGGGAATGGTGATGAAGATAGGGATGGGAGGGGGAATGGGATGGAATTGGGGATAGGATGGGATGGGGAAAGGATGGAAATGGGGATAGGGATGGAAAGGGTTAGAAATGGGGATGGGAATGGTGATGAAGATAGGGATGGGAGGGGGAATGGGATGGAATTGGGGATAGGATGGGATGGGGAAAGGATGGAAATGGGGACAGGAGTGGGGATGGGGTGGAATGGGGATGGGGATATCAGGATAGGAGAGGATGGGAATGGGATGGAAATGGTGATGGGATGGGGATGGGATGGGGATGGGATCAGGATAGGATGGGATGGGGATTTGGGAAAGGACGGAAATGGGGATGGGATGGATATGGGGATGTGGACAGGGATTGGGGATGGGGGCCAGGGATGGGATCAGATGAGATGGGATAGGGATGGGATGAGGATGGGGAAAGGATGAAACTGGGGATGGGGAAGGGTACAGGGATGGGGATGGAAATGAGGATGGGATGGAAATGGGAGCAGGAGTAGGAATAGGGACAGAGACAGGGATGGGAATAGGGATGGGAGTAGGGATGGGGACGGGACTGGAGAGCAACAGCTTTGTGCCCCAGCGCCCCGGCTGCGCACGGAGGTAACCTTAAACGCCGACGCGGGAGCCGTGGGGACAGAGTTTTTCCACCCCCATTCACAACTGTCAGGCGGTGATTAATGGCCAACAGGCTCGAAATTGCCTTTATTGCCAGCCCGCCATTGTTACTTGTGACAGCTAATGAGGTTAGACAGACTTTTACACAGCGCTTTACGCCGCTCCCGGCGGAGCAGCCCCAGGGGGGGGGTCGGTTCCCCGGGGCTGGGGGACCCCCCCCTGGGCACGTCCCGGGGGGGGTTGCCCACCCGCCAGCCCCGGGACCGTCCCCCAGAGCAGGCTGAGCCCACGGCGTTAACGAGAGCGCTCCCAGCCCTTCCAACTTGTCTCAATTAACTTTGCAGTAAAAGCCGTGAGATATTTTTACGGGGGG